CAAAGGGTCTGAATACTTATGACCATGTGATATTTCAGTTTTTCTTTTTTAATAAATTTGCAAAAATTTCTACATTTCTGTTTTTCTGTCAAGATGGGGTGCCGAGTGTACATTAATGAGAAATAAAATGAACTTTTTTGATTTTAGCAAATGGCTGCAATGAAGCAAAGAGTTAAAAATTTAAAGGGGTCTGAATACTTTCCGTACCCACTGTATATACTGTATATATTTAAGGTTGAGAGAAGGAATGACAGCAACAAGATATGCGAATTAGGGAGGAACGGAAAGGAAGATAATGTGTGAAAAGAGTCCGAGCAAAGTTGATGACAATGTCTTTTTTTCTGCCACTGTCATCAACTTTACACCACTCTTGTACTCTCTGTACTATAAAGTAGCGAAACGACCATCCTAAGGACTGTTGGGTGATAAGAATGCGTGTGCGTGTGTGCTAGTGCGGGTACTTACCCCGCGGATTAAGGCGACAGAATCTTGAATATGTTTTCTGTTGATCTCATTCAGTTCCCTACAGAGAGAGCGAGAGAGATAGGGAGACCGATAGGAAGAAGAGCGGGCGAAATAAAAGTTAAGAAAAAGGATTAAAGACATGAGAAGTGTGAATCCAAATAAGGTCCAGCTGCCAAAATATCCAAGAAACATCTGGAATTTCAGACGAGTCCATTACGTTTCAGCCTTGTCTTTGTCGCGAATCTTGGCTTCGCAGATGCTGTATTGTCGCTTCCTGTCCAGGATCTTCTGGAGCTCTTTCTTCTCCCTGCAAACACAATTACATCACAACATTACATCTGAACATAGACAAATATTGTACAGAACTTTCACATTATTGTGAAAGTTATTAAAAAAAAGCTAGACGCTTGTGGCAAGTCCAACATCCTGGAATCAAAATCACATGGAATCAATATAACACGATGGTATTATGGCAAAAACGAAGAATTAATAATACCATAATAATAAATAAAAGAAGAAAGTCCCTCTAGCAGGGTTTTCTGGGTTCTGTCCCACCTTTTCTTATTCAAGGTGAAGCGGCTGCACTTACTTTTCGCACGTGTCCTTGAGCTTCTTCAGCTGAGCTGCTTGGCATTCGAGGGTCGTCTCCTTTAACTTCTGCAAGGCCTAAAAAAGACACAGCAGCAGACGACGACCTGTCAGCGAATAACTGCGCAGATGTACAGAAGTGCCACGTTTCTACGAGGTCGGCTGATGATGAACTCTGCGTGCGAGTGTAGTTAGGAATTCATGGGAGGGATACAGTGTTATTCCAAGTGTGTCACCTTGAGTATGCATAAGTGGGCAAAGTTTGGAGGAGTGAATTTACACTTTTCATACATAGACGTGTGCACGTGTTGCTTAGTTTGTTTAAATTAAGTTACATTTTAGTTTATTAAATGTATGTACATCAGGGACCATATGCAAAAATACATTCATCTTAAGAAAGAGAAGAGATTTCATTCTTCAAGTAAAAGCAGATTGTGCACAATCGTACCTCCCGCAGGTGTGTTTGTTGCGTCTCTCTCTCCGGCAAGTGAAGCTGTTGTCGGAGCTTCAGCAGTTCTTGCATCTGCCATTCCCTCAGCTGGACCGTTTGCTTCTCAAGCTCCTGATCCAACGCCGTCAGCTCACGCTGCATCGGGTCAGGGGGCTCGCTGAGCATACACAATGAGGTCGGGTTAAGTCACCCAGTTTAGTTGCATCTGTCTTTACATCATCAATCAATCATAAACTTTATCGTACGCTTCCCTCCTTCCCTCCCTCATGTACTGGTACACCCCATAATTCAATAACATCCATCCCTACTTTTTCTTGATGCTACGTTTGAGGACCTTCTCCATCTGACTGCGTCTCCTCTGGGTGTCAGATTTAAGCTGGCAACTCCGACTCTTCTGCGCCTTACTCAGATTCCACACCTATAAAACACACGCGAGCAAAATGCAGATAAGCGGTTTTACATTGCATTAGCAAAAATACGTGCTTTTTGCCAACATAGTGGACTTTTCAACTCCAGTTTCTATGCAGAGCTGTGGAGTGAAAAATGAAATATATACTGTACTGTGAGTATATACTGTGTACTGTGAGTGTACCTTCTTCAGGTGTTTCTTACGCATCTCTTTGATTTCTTTGCTCTGTTTCTTTAGCAGCTTCAGATAGCTCTTCTGCTCCTTCAACTCCTCTAAGGACTGGGCCTGGACGTCTGAGAAACAAACAGAATTATAAATCATTCAGTGTAAATCTGGCCAGCCACTATCCAGCTCCTAGCTTGTCCAACTTAAGCTCAATGTGACAGACACATTATTTCACTAGTTTCTGTGTGAGGATGAATGTGCCGGAGTGACCTTACCTGCCAGAACAGTGGCAATGAGGTCTTCCTTTGGACTTTGAGCTACACACGCACACAAACACACATGCGCGATCACAAACACGAAAGAAACACAGAAGGAGAAGCACACAGACAGTATGTGTGAAATGGATGGGAAAATCATTTAGACAAACAAAACAAGTGTGCATGGCTTTAGTTTAAGTCTGTAATTCAATTAATCTTACGTTGAAACGAACAATATTTCTCATAAATGGAAGAAATTGCTAGGAAAATTTCACTTTGGATTTTCTAAAAATGCTAAAAACATCTTGTAAATAGACTGCTATGCATATTTGTGCAGTGAAGACACGAGGACATATTGGCTAACGTTAGAATATACACTAATGCACCTACTTGCAGCAGGCTAATGCAGATACACATAGGAGGGAGGCAGACTGAGTGTATCAACTTTTAGACTGCTAAACTTTCTCCACAACAAAAACTGGCAACCTCTCGTCCTAATGCAGGTGCAGGGGACCTTTCCTCTGTGCTGTCAGAGTGAACGGACTGCTATAATGGATTACATCTAGAGTCTTGTGCAATAATAACAGAAAACAAATCATGGCGGTAAATTAAAGTCATCAATCATTGAAAGTGATATCAATGTATGCGACATTAGCATAACTCCCTTTCATATACGTGCAGATAAATGACAGGTGTGTGTGTGTGTGTTTGCATGTGTTACACGTAGACATCGAGACAACATGTTTGTGTGATTTAGAGAGGTCTCTACCCGGTGCAGGTAATTTGATGATGTCAGGGGCTTCTTCCAATGAGCAACGGGGTAGAGAGTGGAAGGTTGAGGAGAGTCCTGGAATGATTTCACTCTCCCTCTTGGTCTCTCCGTCTTTGGGCTGGTTGGGGACATGCTGGAGAAAAGCAACAGGAAGACGATTTGAGAGTCTACAATCTGTAGGCCTGTCACACATTTAGGGACTCACTGCTGACTAACTGGGGTACAGATGTTTAAAAATTGGGGGTGTGCAGGGAGTGTTTGGGTCCTCATGTTCTGACCTCCCTGCTGAGCAACAAGTTTTCTTTTTTTGTTACTGTTCAACACACGGATGTGTCTTACCTCACTGTTGTCCTCTATGAGAGCAGCCAGCTGCGTCTCTCTCTTATGCAACTGACTGATGTGCTTAATGGGGTTGGTCAGAGCCTCTGCGTACTCTGAGAACACAGACACACAAAAACAAGACAAAGAGTGCCTTAAGGTCATAGATGACCATGAGATCACATATTCTGGACCAGCGGCAAAGTTGTTTGAGGTCTTTTGTGTAAGTCCAAGTCGAGTCACGAGTCTTGGAGCAAATTCCAAGTCAAGGTGCTTGACTAACCTTAAGATCGCTAATTTAATTTGACTTCTAGTGTGTTCTCACCCTGGTGTTCATTAGGGATGTAGTCCTGAGCTTCAGTGTAAACCAGCAGAGAGGGCAGCAGGAGGGGCTGGTTCAGCTCATTCTTTAGGTTGATGTAGTTGTAGCCTAGAAGGAAGGAAGAAGAACACAAATGACTACAGTCCATTGGTGTTGGACAGGTACAGCAGCCTTAATGAATGACGTTTACACTGCATGGAGATAGAACATCTGTTTGATTACAACCACACTTAACTCTAAACGCAGTGCCAGAGTGTGTACTGTGTACTGACCAGGTCTGATGGCCGACACCGGGAGGATCCGGTGTCCAATAAACTTGCCGTTTTCTTCAAACACCGCTATCCTCAGAGAGGCCAGTGTGGGGAGGACCACCTGGAGAGAGACAGGGGTGTTGATCCCATGGGAGAAGTTTAGAGAGCATTTAAGAGTTAACAAAACGACAGACGATGAAGGGTGAGAGAACATATTTGAAAGACATGTAAAATCCTGGAATGTGCACCTTATTAAACACGAACATGTCATCGTCCCACACGGGGTCCAGCGAGTTCCCATTGGATGTTTTGGTTCTGTACTTCCTCTTTGTATCAGCAGGAAGTCCAAATATGTCCACTTCCACGTACACGCCCACCTTTTTATCGATCAGAAACTGGCCTGAGATCACCTGGTGGATGTTAAATAATACATGTTTATAATAACAACTCTTACAAAGAACTTTAATATCCAAAGGATGACACTTTTTCCCCCCCCATACCTTAATTTTGACAGTATTGGCGACTATACCATCCACAATGTTTTCTGTGAAAGGGTCAAAGTGCTTGTCCGTCCTCCTCATGAACTCAGGTTTCAGCAGGTAGCCGCTGTGGCCGTTGTACTCAAACACACCCATGTTCAGCTGCATAGGGAGGTCTGGTAGAGGGGAATGGAGAGATGACGAAGGGAGAGGGGGAAAGAGGGACGAGAGAGAGCAAGAAAAGTTGGGAAGAGAGGTATTTACAGGGATGAAGGTTGAGATGCTTTAACTTGACGTCCCGGACATTTGAGTTATTTATAAAGGCTGAAGAGACACAGTATCTTCCAGTTACAGAAAGCAAAACTTTAAATTCTTAAAGACTTTATTTATGTTTCTTGGTCCTGTGGATGCTTTGTACTTCATAGGCCTAGCTTACATGCCCCATTTAGGCCATCTGAAATAACCGCACTCACCCAGGGTCTGGAAGTTTAGCGCCACCATCTGGCAGCCGACGTTCCAGAAGAGCTGAGGCATGTAGTTGGAGCTGTCCACCCTTGTTCCTTTGGGGTAGATTCGGCTCAGCTGATTCTTATTGTACCTGGAGGAGTGCTGTTAAGAGCCTAACACTGTATATGTGGCCAATGTGTGCACTGACCATTTGTTAAATGTTGCAAACCGTAGCAGATAAAAGACAAGCATTACTTTTTACACGTTTTAAAGTCAAGACTTTGAAGACTTTTCCTTGCTCGCTACTTTCAATCTTCTTGACTTTCAACACAAAAGAGGCCTTTGAACACATAAAAGATTATGCACACACACACATTAACGAATTCCTCAAAAGAAGCTTTCAAGGAATGACAAGCTTTCTGGGATACTCGACAAACTCGATGGGGGAGCCCTTCAGGGTGTCCATGCCTTTTGTTTCCACCAACGACGACATTTCAAAGAACTTCCTCCTCTCTGGTGGACAGACGAAGAGGGAAATAAGAGAAAGAACTCACCGGTACAGAAATTGATTTAGATAATCTATGTGCAACATGTCCGTACGATAATGAGTACACACAGCTGGCCTGTCTGCCTAATGAGCTACATTGGAGTAGTGCTTAGAACTAACGAGGCTTGTCAACCCCCCCCCCTCAAACACACACACACTCTTTTTCTTTCACTTCACATCTTCCCCGTACACAAAGTCAGGACGTCTTCCTGTCTCTTAATCAGTCCCACGCACACTTACTGTTTGCCACCTCGAAGCTCTTGAACTTGACAGGCTCGATGTAGTTGACGAGTGTCGACATCTCCTCCGTGGCGTTCACCTCACTGCTGGCGGTACCCTGCGGGAGGCAGATAGCACTGATCCATCAATCAGCCCCATCAAGCCAGTCAAACACGCCGTCAGCCCCGTTCCTGATGGCTCTTACCTCGTCAGAGTTCGGCTTTTTCAGATCAGTTGCCGGTTCATCCTCCTCATCCTCCTCGCTTTCTCCATCTCCTCCTGAGCAATGTTTCAAATGTACATTATGCAAAAACCCAGTGCGCACCACAATGGCCGACTTTATAATCCATATGTCCATGTTTGCTTTCTTCGACAACTCACCAATGGATTTGCGAGGCTCAGAGTCTTTGACCAACCTCTCGGCCAGCTTTTCCTCCCCGTTAGAAAGGAGATGGCTTCCCTCGCTGTCCATCAGAGGGCAGTCTACACAAAATCATAGTGTTAACATCTACTGTATGTTAATGCCATACATTAATCTCGTTTTAAGCACGTATGTGGTAGACCCATTGTTGTTTTCAGCTAAGTGCCATCATGGCTCAAGACAGTTCCAGGTTTCATTCCTCCAAACGCTCGTCATAGTGCGTAGATGCAATCTGAACCTACAGATTCTCAGCCCTACACTGAAAGAGATGCAGGCAGTCGCCTGAACTCACCGTTGTTGGGCGACAACTGCTCCTCCAGCTCTCTGCGTCTTATGCTGCCACTGCCCGTGGGTCGGTGGTATTGGTGCTTTTTCTTGTTTTTGATGAGAATCTTACCCAGCATCTCCTGCGGAGAAGGCAGGGCCTGACCGGGGACCAGCTAAAGACATATGACAGACAGACAAAACTACAATCATTTTATGTTTTAATCTGCATTGCGTATAAACACATGAAGACATGGTTTCAAGTTTTCCCATTGCTTACATATATGTCTTAAGAATATACAGCTCCGAACCAGTAAAACATGTATTTCATTCATGTGCACTTTGATCTGCAAATGCGCTTTAACTTTGTAAGTTCAGAGTTCTTAAGAGAAAACAAGTACGAGCACACAAAAATGCACAACTCATGTTATTGCAAATACCATTGTGTGCCTTGTTCATAAGCAGAAAGATGCACAATATATCTGAATGATCAAATCTGGTACTGCTGGCATGAGTTATATTTTAAGAATTGTGTGAATGCACTGAAAGTTGTGAACACAGAGAGGTTTATAAAATCAAAAGCAATGGATCATGAGTTGTCACGGGCTGATCTGTGTATCACAAGCTGTTTGATCCCATTTGATGGTTTACAAGTTGATTAAGACGTGACTGCAGTCAAAGGATATTGTTCATTTTTCCTGTGAGACATCACACTAAATAGTTTTAGACTAAAACAGACTTTAAACTTTAAAATAATAATATAAATGAAGATCAGTCTCACCGGATATTTCTCCAGTGGTTCAATGAGCAGGGCATCTCCAAAGATGGTCCTGCAGTACTCGGCCATCTTGGCCTGCTGCTTGGCCCTGACAGATCAAGAGACACAGGTTAGTTTCTGGTTTAAATCCTACTCTCTGGACCTTTCAAATTAAAACATTTATTTTGGTTTGGTAATAAATACATCAGGCTAAACCACAAATCAGAATACATAGAGCCGAGACCAACTGGATTGATCTAAATCCATGTGCTGACAAACACACTCGTACAGACTGATAACACTTACGAGTCTACGTGGTTTTCAAAGGACAGGATGAGGGGGTACGACGAGGTCTTGAAAGCACTTTCTGCTATCGCCTCAATCACCTCCTACAGTCGGGGAAAGAATGAGAACTTTAAAAGGACCTCTGTTGAATAAAACCTCTAAGTACATGGTAAAATAAACATTTCCTCTGATTGTAAGGTGTTTCATGATGGCTTATGAGTACAATATACAGAGTTGTTCCTTTCAAAAGCACAGCAGAACTTTGCCTTCATCATACGGTTATAAAGCAAAGACGAGCTTGTTATGGTATTTTTTCGGCAGTTCATTTTGGCAACAGTTTATGGCACTGCTTCCACTTTCTGCAATAAGAATAATAAAGACACTGAATGCCAGTGTGCAATGGACTGCGGCGACTTTCTTCTGTTTGTTAAAATGCCCTGTGGTTGCTGCCTCCATATCCAGCATTTCTGAATCCACTGCACAAAGAATTTGCTGACCAAACCGCACAAATGCACCAAGGTTAAGAGGTCCATACACCAACATCCCTTAATAATTTCTATATTTTTAACAGCCGGAGGAGGAGAAAAACTTCAGGAGAATAATGCAGGGTAACTGAATGCCACGAAGCAGTGAATACCACCTTAAAGGGGATCTCAGTGGTCATGGTGAACCCGTGGGTGATGTAGGGCTCCTCGTCTTGAGGCCGGCCCTTCCAGCAGTCCAGCTCTATACAGCGACAGCCAGTCAGCAGCACCTGCCTGTACATCTCCACTGACGACAGACCAGTCAGCTGACCCACTGAGGGCAGACAGACAAAGCGAGGGAAGGACGGTTTTAGATCCAATAGATTACCTATGAAGCTAGGTGTCAAAATGAGCGCGTTTCTTGTTAAATCTGAGGAGTGTACTTTCACCTGTGAGGTATGTGTTGTGCGAGGAATTGATGAAGTAGTGAGACAGTGGTTGGTTCATGTCGTCGATGATGTCTAGCCTCTCTGGAGGCACGATGCTGTTTTCCTCTCCTTCCAGATATCGACTGAAAGCCTGCAAACTGATCTGGTCTGCATGAGAGAGAGACAGAGAGAGAGAGAGAGAGAGAGAGAGAGAGAGAGAGAGAGAGAGAGATCAAACTTGTTTTTGACAGTGAGAACAGCATCCATCTGCTCATGGCAAGGACTGGAAGATATTCTGCTGAATGTATCATCATGTGTTCTAGCAGTAAACTGGCCAAAAGAGCAAAAGGCTGTTTTCGGACGTCAACCATCTGAACACTGTGGGCTGGACAGTGGATCGTCTTACATATTTTGGCTTACCGGTGTCCTAGCAGACCTGCTCACGGTAGCCAGGCTCTGTTTGTTCCCTGGTTTTGGACAGTTTTTCCACAACAAAACATGTGGAGGACATTTTATTCTGGGTGTTTTACTGAAGGGAAAGATATATGGGTTTGGTATGACCAAGGATTTTTTTAGAAATGGACAACCTGCTGCAATAAAACACCAGGAAATCAATCATGCCTATAAATCTATAATTATCAGAGTACTGCTGCAGCTGACAAACCTCGCTTTGGGGGACACAGATACAATCGACAAGAGGATACAGCTGCATGTACACTGACCTCTTATCTAGCGAAATAACATTATTTTATGTGACTCACTTTTTGTGCAGTTTTTTGCTTCATTATTTCTATCTCAGAAATGAAGATAGCATGTTTCAAGCTGCTCTGGAGGGTGAACAGAAACACTCAAAGTTACTAACCTCTCTCCAGCTGGCTGGCGTTGGTCTCGTATTTCTCCATGGTCTGTCGGACCTGTTCTCTTTTCAGCGGGGGGTACAGCACCTCGTTCAGCCGGGAGTCTCGCTGCCTGCGGTTAATGAAGTCCATCAACTGGTCCAAAGAGATGAACGGCTTCCTCTTGGAGCCACTGGAGCAAAGAGATACATTTTAGTGAAAAGAGTGTGTACGGTCACACAGAAGGTACCAGGTTGTGAGCATTACTGGGAAACCCTACAAATATAACTAGAGCGTAGCTAATAAAAGGGTTTAGGCTGAGGGTTGTAACTTTGTTCTCATGTGTTACAAACCTTTCTTCAAAGATGCTTTGTATCTCGGGCCGGAGACAGAGGGTGTCGAGAAATCTCTGGAAGGCGTCCCACGTGAAATCATCTGGCTTTATTCCCTCAGCCTGAAAGAGAACAGAGAGGATGGTGTCGAAAGATATGGAGGGAAAGAAAAAGAGAAATAATGGAATCATTTGCAAAATTTGCATTAAATGCAAAGTTTGACGATGCAGGATCACACATGCATTCTGGTCTCCACTACTGATCCCCAAAAATATTGAAAAAAATTGTTGAATTCCCAACACACTTATTCCAAACTATGTAGTATTGGGAAGATAAATACACTGTCAGCTGATGATCAGATTCTGCTCAGTCTTCACCCACTTTGTGTGATCTCTTATTCAACCAGCAGGAGGCACCAGAATACAACAATACCGAGAGACACGCTGACGGTGCAGTTTGCACAATCTGGTCCCTTATTCATAAAAGAAACATCTTGTGACTCCGAACTGATTTTTGGGAAAGATTGCACGGACTAATGGCATACAAGAAACCTAGTTTCAACCTACCAAACCACAGGCCTGTGGTACCTTACACTGCATTTACAAGCAAAGGATTTGACAATATTGGGACTCTCAGGCTTGAAAGAATGAATGAAGCCAGGATTTGTAATATTTAAACAGTTGCTCTCTCTAGGAAGCCACATTTATGACTTCTATAAAACCATATCATATCTAGTTTATATAAAACCTCGATGGCAAGCGGCAGATTTTAAACGGTGTACATGTTGGGGATTGGCTTACTTGCTTTCTTGTTGAAAGTTAGATGTATGGTAAATATGAGGGTCCCTGCCAGCAGCTGGTTACCTTAGCTTTGCATATAGACTGGAAACAGGGGCAAAGCTAGCTTACCTCTGTTACCAAAATCTTAAAAACTTGTGACTCTGTTGACAGTTCATTCATATTTCATGGTTACTCTCCTATAGGCCTGCAGCCCTATTTCTGCCTTCCTTACGTTGCAAAGGCATGCAAAGAATGCTATGCAACACCACAGGGTGAGAGACTGAGCTGCACCGATTCCAATCTCCAATGTATGAACCAAAACACAAAAAAAAACCTGCATATTGCGAACAGCCCTGTGGTTAGTGATCGCTTCTGATGATTACCCGGTTGTTGACGAGGCCACACTGCTCCAGAGCCGTCTCCACTCTCTTTTTATCTGAAAACATCTTGAGAATACTGAAAGAAACACAGAGAGTTTATAGAGATAACAGTCACTGTTTAAAAGTTTTTTTTTTTTTTTTTTAGTATGAGTCAAACCATTCACATGAAACGGAAAAATCAGGTCAGTCAGCAGAGTCTGAAAGGATTACATTTATACGAGTGACAGGGCTGACCAAAAACCAGAGAGAACAGATAAAGAGTTGAACCGAAGAGGAGAGAAAGTGGAAGAGAGACAGAGAAGAGGAAAGGAAAGAAGAAGTGGAGTGCACTGGTGTTTAAAAAGTGGTTTCTCACTTCTTCACAGGAATCTTCCCATCCTGATTCACCTGCAGCTTTAACTTAGTGTACCTGAAACAGACAGAGAGAGGCTTTTAAAAAAACAATGCTCTGACATCTACAGTTCGCTAATGTCAAGATAAGACACACACGGCTTCTTACGCTTTGAGGAGGAAGGTGTGCCGTGATGCATTCTGCGAAAGTATGTTTGTGGCCAAAGTGAACAGCTCATCCGTCCAAATCTAGAAACACACAGAAACGAGGTGATAAAACGGGGTTGTTTGACTGTTCGTCTGATGTCAAAACTAAGGGAAATCGTTTCTATATACAACACGCACACAAATGCACAGAGAGGGGGAAAAAAAATCCCTCTTTACAACTCCTGAACACGCACATGCCTGTGTGTCAACATCGTAAAGTGAGTAACCAGCATATGGCCCGAGGAAAGAAAGAAAGACACAAGTGGAGGGGGATAAGGAGGAAGGACGGAGACGAGACGGGAAGGAAGATATATTGAAGGCAAGTAAAAGTAAGCGAGTAGGCTATGGGATGCTAATGGCGCCGGTTTCCATGGTTACCTTGGCTGCATCTTTCTGCATCGCCTGGAAGTTGAGGAAGGAGATGTTGACCAGGTCGCTGCCATGGACAACGGTTACCAGCTTCCCTTCAACGTTGTTGGCCTTACCGAAGCCCAGCACGTCCCGCAGCTTCGGGTCCTGACACACACACACACACACACACATTTATACGTTCTCTTTAAGACATTGTACGTGACACACACAATATAATGACCACAACCCTGCTTTGCGCATAACATCTGTACATCCTTCCCGCTCCCTGCCCAGCTCTCTGCCTCCCGAGAACAGTAAATGTGATGCATGTGGTGTAGCACTCTGATCAAATTAACCTAACGACTCTTTCCTCCTTTTTAGGCCACTCTGTCTCTACCACCAACTCTCAATGTCTCTCCATCAATTATGCATTCTCTCCGTCACTCACTCCCTCTCGTGTCTCTTTCATTTCAATTAAACTAATTAACTTGGAAGACTGTTTATGAAGAAAAATACTGCCGAGGCAGAGCACAAAGTGTGCATTGTCATTAAGCAGCGAGTGAGACTTTTAAAGGATCAGTACACTCAAATTAGGAAAACTTCACAACAGCCTCCATGTGACAAAAGATAATACCCAGACCTCACTGTTGGTGGTTTTCTTTGGAACCCCTACCTACCAAAGAAATGGTCCTCGTAAAACTGTTGACAGTGTGTGTGGATCGTCCAGAGCAACATCAGGAACATTGCTTCCGGATATAAATGTTGTTAAAATGTTTAAACCTGCATTAACAGACGTTTTGGCCAACAATAGAAGATCTAAATATTATCATCTTCTGAAGTCGATATGGCAAATTTATTAACAAACAGTTGCTTATTTGCATATTCAGCACATACAGAAGCATTCATTTAACTCCTGAGGGAAGTATCTCACTCTCTAGCTGCTAAATGCTCCACCACGCTCACCAGCTAGTCGCTAACATTGTGTGTCTGTGTTTGGCGCAGGGCAGAAGGTGTACAGTTAGTTAGTGATTTGGGTGAACTGGCCCTTTAAGGATTTAAACCACTGGTATGATTTGTTTATTTCCTCATTCCTTTTCTGAACACCACATTTTGACATTGATTAGCACATCAATGGCATAAAACACATAAAATTCACATTGTTTACACAACACAAAACCTAAATGCCACCCTTTAAATATTGCTGATCATGCAGGTTTTCTTACATAACGTCTCAGGCTTTATTTCAGTTATTGCAGAACAGGTATCTAATCTTACACACAGATTAAAAGCAGGACCACATTTCACTGTTCATTGCTTTGATTACAGATTGTAGGTATTGTAATAATGTTAACTTTTTTTTTTTTTTTTTTTTTTAAATCAATTTGACCCACAAGCCTGAACCATGTCAACAAGTCCATATGTTTCAGCCACTAATACGCAGCTTTATCCCTCGGCCCGATCTACGATCTTACACAACAACCTCTCTCCACCAACAGTCACTGGTTATATCACTTCCTGTCTGACGGCCCATCCGTCAGCAGGCTCATTAGCGCTCTCTCACGTTTGCGCCATCAGCTGAGAGAGGAAGCACACACACATACAGTGAACACACGTATACACACGCATCTTTTGGTGACAGTCACACTTGAGCATCACATTTCTGGTCCCAGAACAAAGTTATCAACAGCAGCAGGTGACAGCTTCTTTCTGTCACACACACACACACACACACACACACACACACACACACACATTACTAACCTTTGGTAGTTTGGCGTATTTCCCTGTTCTGGTGTCCCTGATGGCGTTGATGTCCAGAACCTCCACCTCCTAAATGACATACAGGTGTCAGACAATTACTTGACGAGTAGAAGAGTGTGTGCAGGACAGAGAGTCAACATTAGCAAATCAGGGAAAGTGGACACAGTGAAGAAAGAGGGGTTCATCTCCTTTTATACATTTTACATCATCACACTAGTGGTGCTGTTCTAGGAATGGCCGTGTTGACTTGTTGGTCTGTGCACCACTTTGATCCGGACTGAAATATCTCGCGAACCATAAAATCTTGGACAGACAGTAATTGTTCCTCGACAATGTACTCTACTGACACTGGTGATCCTTTGTAAGTGAAATCTCTCAATAGCAATGGACTGGACAGCGATGACATTTGGTTCAGACTTTCATTTCCTCTTCAGGAAGAACTTGCAATCACTTTGGTCAAAGTTTCAACAAGTAATGGCAGTGTATAGACATTCCCGCTTTACATTCCTCATCTACTAAATAGAGAATATTTTAGCATGCTACCACATCAAACATGAAAAACATGTTAGCATTTAGCTCAAAGCACCACTATGTCTTCATGCAGAGCCACTAGCTTTGCTGTAGACTCTCAGTCTGTATTATAGATTATATTTGTGTGCGCTATGGATTGAGTTGGTAGTTTCCTACAGTTCAAAGTTCAAATAATGAATGTAACTTTTACAAAACAAAGTCAACGATAAATATACTTTAACTGATAAACGGGGCAAGTATGTTTACACACCATGAGGGCGTGACAGTCCACTCTTATATCAATATTCTCTAACATTTGCAATTAATGTAAGAAGCAGCAAGCAGAAACACTGATGGAACAAAAGTATGTTTTATGGTCAGTTTCTCCTCCTTCCATTAAACCCACTCTTATCAGATTCCCGTGCTTCTCTAGACATAAAACACGACCGGTGACATAAACTCTGTATGTGTGTGTTTGTGTGAGACCATGGAAAACAGTGACATAACTTTTGGAGAACTCTGCGCGCGCGCACGCACACACACACACACACACACACACACACACACACACACACACACAC